TATCTACATTTTTAAAAATCAAAATCATTAAATTAAAAAAACAAACAGAACTCAAGTCTCAATGCAAAGTCAGATCACGTCAGGTTTCTAAGAATTTGAAACTAAACCTCACCAACCAGAAAAGTAAATTTTAGGAAAGACTGGTGAAATTCTAATCTCAGAGGTTTGGTTTCCTAGATTTTAATCAAGTCAGTCAACTTGTTGAGTAAATTAACTACTGTTTCCTACAGGTATATTTTATTGTTTTCAGGATTAATTTTGAGAAGACAAAAGAATTTCACTCTGTCAATGGAACATGTAAAACTGAAATAAATTTGTTTTTTACCAAGGCCACAACTATAAATCTCATTTATTTATTCTCAAAGTAACTCTGGCTCTTCTTTATGATGGATGGATTAGGGGGGACCTCTTACGTTAGGTACCTTTTAACCTATGGGACTTTAAGCTTTAATTGCTCAGTCACTTTTAGAGTCTAAAAGAGCTTTGGCCCAAGGGAGGAGAGAAAAGAAAATTGTAAAAATTCTTGCTAAACACAGAACTTCCAAGATTCAGTATAACTCACACAAGAACAAAATACCTCTCTAAATAAGACTATTCATTACAGCATTGTTTATATAGCAAAATTTGGGGGACAATCTAAAAGTTATCAATAAGCAATTAGTTAAATTAAGATCTTAACCACAAGGTTCCACAAGGCAGCCCTTTAAAAAATGAGTTACCCAGAAGATATGTTGGAGGAGCTGGAGGAGGACTCAAGATATTTGCACGAGGAGGAGGGCAATAGGCCTAACATATAAGCGCGGAAACTCTGGTCTTTCTGGCAGGATACACAATACAAATAAATAGCGGTTGTCTGGGAGGAGAACTGGAATGCTGAAGGATATTTCAGAGAGTCTTAATTTCCCTCTGTGTTTCCTTTAGAACCTTTCAAATGCTGTGCTCTATGTTTGTATTTCCTAGTCAACAAATAAAAGATTGTTTTGTTTTTTAATGAATTTATGGGTGGAATTAGAGAGTAACTTTTAGCTCAAATATCGGTTCAGATAGAATCCACTAAGCAGGAACAATGTCAAATTACGATATAGAATAACTCTCCTATAAGTTTCTTCCGAAGAGACTGAAGCAGATGAATATTTCAGTGCCTACTACGTGTTCTAGGCATTAGAGCAATGCCCAAGTCATCCAAGAGTGCCTCCCTGACTTCATGGAGCTTTAGTGGGAGTAGAGATAAATAGGAAATAATATAACTTCGAGTAGTGCTGAGTGCTATATAGAAGAGAGGGGAATGTGGGGATAAAGAGAAACTACAGGGGGCAGGGGGACTGTATTTTAGGACAGTTAACGTAAATCTCTGAGGATATGACATGTGAGCCAAGAACTGAACAATACGACAAAGCAAGCAATGCAATAAACAGGAGGAAAGCCCTGTGACTGGAACAAGCTTAGCCTCCTATTGTTCAGGGTACAGCAAAGCAACAGTGCGGCTGCAGTGCAGCAATCCAAGCAGGGAAGGGCAGGAGATGATCGCAGAGGTAGGCAGATCCCAGATATCTGTAAGGCCTTGTAGCTGGCGCGGGGGAAAAGGCAAGATTCCACTCAAAGCCTGGCGGAGAACCTGTGTAGAGTTCTGAGCAGGGGAGTGACAAGATCTATATTTAAAAAAAAATTACACTAGGTGCTGCTTAAAAGGAGTAGGCCAGGCAACAAATGATGGAATCGAACAATGGTTTCAGAGAGATGGGGAAATGTGTTCGATTCAGGACATATTTTTAAAGTAGAGCCCAGAGAATTTGCTACTGGATTGGAAATAAAAATTTGAGTGGGACAGCAACTGGGTGAATAGTAATTCAAAAAGTCATCTTACATTTCAATAGTCATTTACAGTCATCAAGGTACTTTTACATATATTACATCATTTCATAATAACAAGAGGCAGGGGAAGGTCACACGGACTCAAGATCCAAGTTCTGCCTCTTGCCAGCTTCAAGACCCTAGGAAAATCGTCTGAATGGGTTTTCAGACTATAAAATGCATTGTCTACTTCACAAGATTTCTCCAGTTATCAAGGAGCTGAAGAATTTTCCAAATGTAAGTAACCATTTTGAGGTAGCTAGCATTATATTAATAGTTGTCCAATGGAGGTATGGTATGTTCCTATCACTCTGGACAGTAGAGCTACCATCCCACCACCACCACTATATTCCACATAGGACCTTGTACTGTGGTTCACAGAGAAGAGGCAAACTTTTTAAAAAAAAAAAAAAAACTCTGATACATGGGGCTGGCCCTGTGGCCTAGTGGTTAAGTTCCTGCGCTCCGCTGCAGGCGGCCCAGTGTTTCATTGGTTCGAATCCTGGGTGCGGATATGGCACTGCTCATCAAGCCACGCTGAGGCAGCGTCCCACATGCCACAACTAGAAGGACCCACAACGAAGAATATACAACTATGTACTGGGGGGCTTTGGGGAGAAAAAGGAAAAAAAAAACATACAAAAAATAAACATTTTCACTGATTATGGAAAAACTACATCATACAAGCATGGGCACTAGAAAAAACAGTATAATCTTTGAATCCTTTCTAGGGATTGGAGAAAACAGTTCTGTAAACGGTATTAAAGCAAAACCACCTAACTTTTACAAAATAAAGCCCAAATCAAAGCATCTTTCATTAGAGAGATGCTATCAACAAGAAACTGCAAAATTAAGATTATACACGAGTTACCACTGTCTCGCTTTAAATAGAAAGACGTAAATGCCTAGTGTAAAATAAATATTGTGTGCCAAAGAAACTGAATTATGAGGACTTCAACTTACTGCCTTAAATCATTTCTGTAAGTTTATAAATGAGATTCCACAGAACTTATTTTTCCATTCAAGGCTTTCATATTACCGCAGAATATCTCCAGAATCAAGCAAAAATGGAAAACTTTATGTTAAATGTCCAGTTCATTATGTATTTTGGAGAATTATCTTGACTGTCAATTTGTTACGTACTTAGTCGATAACCTGAATAGCAGTCAATAAAAATTCAGCTCTATCCTCCACCCTTCATTTTCACTGGGGCCTCAATAAAGATGATCACTGGGGCCACGTGACTGCATTATAACTAAAACCGCGTTTTAAGGACCTTCCAAAGCATACAGCAATTAAACTGCCTTGGACAGAGTCCGAGATAAATCCATTCATACAACAAATTTCGCACTATGAAGATTCACATTATTAGACTCCAGCGACCAACGACAATCTGTTCTACTTCTCTAAGAATATCTACCTTAGAAAACGTCTTCTTTCTCTAAATCAAGAACCTTAAGTCAGACACACACCCCCATCTCAGACATACTTAACTGCAACCGCACGAAACACTACACAATACTTCATCTTTCAACAGGTCTTTCACTTACTATCAGCTCCCCCCAAAACTTGAGAAGAACAGACTAGATTAAATACACGCTCACTAGCAAAACGATGCTGCAATTCAGTCACTTTAACTCGTATGTTGAGCAATGCAGAGTTCAACTAATTTCCTTCATCAAAACTCACAAAAAATTTCAAGTTTTGTTTTGGGGGATTGCAAGAAACATTTCACACGTGAAGACTTGACATCACGTAATTTACAATAATGACAATAATACAAGTATCACCAATATCAAGATGTCGAGTTCTTGATGGTTTCACACGTATGCGTCAAAATAGTGTTCAAGAGCCGAAGAACGGTTTAATAAAGTGCACAAAATCGAGGCGCAAAACATTTCACAAGGTTCCCCATACCTGTGACCCCCACCCCGCCCTGACTTGTGTTAAACTATTTCGTCTGAACAGAAGGAGCTCTGAAAGAGTTTGCCAACCAGAGTAAAATCACTTCGCCGAGATAACGAGCGGAAACGTATTTAAAGAAAACAGATCGCGGAAGCGAGGGCAGCGGGGCGCGAAGCTCCGCGTCCCCGGACCCCGGCAGCCCGGAGCCAACATGTGCCGACGGCGGCAGGACGCGCGGCCCTCCCGGAGCCGCCTCCCGGGGCACAGGGCCCCGCCCGGCCTCGCTCTCCCGGTTCATTCATTCTAACCCGGGGCTGCCGCAGCCCCGCGCTCCCGCTCGGGCCGAGCAGCGGCTCCGGCGCCGAGGGGCCGTGTCGAGCCACAACCCCCGCCCAGAGTCCCGGCCCCGCCGCGATTCCCGCGCGCCCGCGGCCTCCGCCCGGGGGGTGGTCTAAGAGGCCGCTGAGGCCCGCGCCGGCCAGCGCCCGGGACCAGAGCCCCGCAACCCCGCGGCCCCACCCTCCGCCAGGGCGCGGGCCAGGCCTTCCCCGCTCGCGGGGCGGCCGCCTGGAAGCCCCGGGTCCCCGCCGCCGGGCTGCCCCACCGCGGCCGGAAGTCTCCCCGGCGCCCCCTCCCCAGCGCCCGACTTCCCTCGCCGCCGCGGCCAGACCCTCTCCGCGCTGCCTCGGGCCTCCCAGCGCGGGCCGCGGGCCGGAGGAAGCGAGGGGCCGCGTCGCCCGGTCCCCCGAGCGGGCACGAGCAAAGCGCGGAGCCGGAGGCCGGCCTGGGCGGTTACCTTGATAATCCTGCGGGGCAGCCCGGCCATCTTGTCAGATCCGGAGTTCGGCCTCTGGTCTCGTCTCCGGCTCCGCTCGCCTCACGCACGAGTGGAAGTCCTGGACTCCACTTCCGGGGGACGTTGCCGCGCCCGCCGCCGCCGCCGCCGAGGCCCCTCGGGAAATGTAGTCCCTGCTCGGGCGCGGGCGGTCTTCCCTCGGACCTGGCCCCCTCCCCCGCGCTCCCCGCCCCAGCCCCGGCCAGAGGGGGGCGGAAGTGACGCGCCGCAGAGGGGCAGGGACTTGGGAGAGGCGGCGCGGAGCTCCGGCGCTCCTGGCCCAGCGGGCCACGCGTTGGTGGGACTGGGGGGTGCGCGCCCCGTAGGCTTCTTATCCTCAGCCTCGCCCGCGCCGGTGGGCGACGTAACAGAGGCCCGGCCGCCGACGTCGCCCATTCATTCTTTCGTGCGATCGTTCATTCCTTCAACGTTCCTGCATTGCGCATGGCCGGAGCTGGTGCTTCAGAGAACGACTGCGGTCACGTTGGTTCGCCGGCTCCTTACTCAAAGAGAGGGCAAGACCGAAACTGGGTAGCAAAGTTCCTAACTGTGGGTATCGAAAGTTAGCCCGGAACACCCTAACCAGATTGTTGCGATGTTTAAATTTCGCAAAATCAGGCCTCTGACATACCCCTTGGGCCCGGGGAAGGCTAAAAGGGCTTGGAGAGTTGGGGGTGGGGAAGAATGGCTTCTGAACGCCTGGATTCAGTGGTTGAAACGGCAGACTCGCTAGCTGGAGGAATGACCAAGGAGAGGTTTAGAGAGCCCAGAGTAATCCTGGAAAGAGGGATTACCCGCAGAGTGCGGGGTCCTAAAGGAGGATTAGAGCGGGGATGCCCGAAAAGAGGATTTGGGGAAGCATTTCGTGACATCCTGGTCATTGACTGCTTGCCATGTGATGGGCTTGTTGCAGCTATTTGTTTTACTTCATCTTCACAGCAATCTTAAGAAGTTGTTGCCTCTACCTTCATAAATGAGGTTCAGAGACGCTAACTTTTTTCAAGGCTACGCAGGAGGTGGAACTGTTTTGTCCTCAGGCAGGTCTGCCAAAACATGGACCCGGTAACTACTTAACCACAGTGTTTCCTAGCACAGGAGCACAGACAGTAGGTGGTGAATGAAGATGTGCCAGGTGCTATGTTAGAGGATGAGAATACAAAGAGGCTGACCCTGCGTTCCGGGAACTTAAGAGTCCAGTGGAGAAGAGACAAGTAAACAATTACAATCCAATGGCTAAGGGCTATAATAGAGGTTCCTCCAAGGTGCTATTTGAGCACAGAGAGATGTTAACTGCTTGAGAAGGCTTTCCAAAGAAGTAGAGTCCTAAAAGATGGGTAAGAGTCTAAGTGACCTGGTAGAGATGAGCATGCCAGGCATAGAGAATAGCCTGTGAAATGGCATTAAGCTGTAAGGAAAAAAAATAGTGCATTAAAGAAATGGAGAATATGAATGCAACAAACTTAATAAGAATAATAAGAGAAAACGTGTGCTGGGCACCATGCTAAAAGATTACACGGATTATCTCCTTTAATTATAAAGCATTAAGGTAGGCCTCCTTATTACCAATGCTTTTTAGATGCAAAACCGAGCCTCAGAGGTAATAATGAGAACTTGAAATAACCAGAAGTCTGAAATGAGTGGTTCTGTGATTAGAAGAATCTGTGAAAGTAAATGACATTGGACAAGGATGCTTTCAGAATGTTTTAGAGAGGGCCCAGGAGAATTCACCTTGACGGGAAGAAATGCAGAGTGACTATTGAGTTAGAAGGGGACTATGCCAGTTGTCTATTGCATAACAAACCAGCTCAAACTTAGTGCTTAAAAGGATAACAATCATTTAATTCTTGCCTCTGCAGTTTGGGGGCTAGGGAAGGCACATCTCTGCCCCATGCTGCAGCAGCCTGGGCAGCTTGACTGGGACCAGATCCATTTCCAAGACGGCTCACATAGCTGGCAAGTCAGTACTGGCTGTTCATTCCTGGCTATGTGGGCCTCTCCCTGGGGCAGCTTGGGCTTCCTCACTGCATGGTGGCTGGGTTTCAAGAGTGAGTGTTCTAGCAAGCAAAAGTGGAAGCTGAATCAACTTTTTTGCCCCAGCCTTGGAAGTCACATAAGAGCACTCTCGCCAAAATCTATTGGTCAGCTAGTCACCAATAGAAAAGCCCACCCAGGATATGGACTCCACCTCTTCAAAGAGGAGTGATGAGATTCTAGAAACTAACAGAGTATGTGTGATAGGGGCTGTGGTTGTGACCAACTTTGGAAAACACAGGTACGACATTTGTCACAATATGTGTAGGAGCCACCTGCCTTAGCATCACTGGCAGTGCTGGTTGAAATAAGCATTCCTGGAGCCCTTCCCCCAGAGATTCTAATTCTCTAGGTCAGTACTGAGGCCTGGGACTCTGCATTTAAACAGCATGGGTAATTTTAATAGATCCTAACATTTGAGAACTAAAGTGTTTTTGGTTTTTCTTTTTGCTGAGGAAGATTTGCCCTGAGCTAACATCTGCCGCCAGTCTTCCTCTTTTTGTAAGTGAGCCACCACCACAGCATGGCCACTGACAGATGAGAGGTGCAGGTCCACGCTCGGAACTGAACACGGGCCACCAAAGCAGAGCACACCAAACTTAACCACTAGGCCACTGGGGCTGGCCTGAGAACGAAAGATTTTGAGTAACAAGAACAAAAATATATAAACAAAAAATGTCACATGCTGTCTTTTGGCTATTCTCCATCATATTGGATAGTGAGTATCATGCAGATTAAGAGTGAGGGCCCTAGAGTCCTAGCCTTAATTTGAAAACTACATTTGCTTAACTATCTGTCCTTCATTTTTTTCACCTATAAAATGTACTTACTTCATGTGATTGTTATGAAGTTTCAATGATATATATATATAGGAAGTACTTAGAACACTACATAGCACTTAGCAAGGACTGTTATTTTTGTAATCTTGATGGAACCAGGTGTAGTTTTCCTTAGGAAAACAGATTTTTAAAACTTGACAGTATAACCTTGTTTGGTAGAGATTGGTTTGATGGCATGAAATTCTCTTAGAGTATTAACACCTTAAAATACATTTTTTTATGTCTCTGCTAGTTGTTTTTCCTGTTCTTTTTCCCCTTGAGGACAGCTCACACTATAGTCATCTGGAAAATAAAATCTGAACTTCTGATTCACGTAAATCCTGTAGAACAGGATATACTCTAGAAGGAGAGGTTGCCACAGGGCTGAGATGAGGTTTATTCTCAAGTTAGAAAGCTGGTTGAGAATCCTACTTACTATATCTGTAAAATATGGATAAAATTAGGATATCCACAAAACTAACTGAATCGATTCCTTCAGGGGAGGGATGCTGGGCAGCTGGAGAACAGAGGTAAAAGGAAGACTTTTTACTCTATACTCTTGTATTGTTTAGATTTTGAACTGTGTGAATGTGTTACCTCTTCAAAACATAAAATAAGAACCCAATTCACTAATTTCAACAGTCTAAGCTAGGTCTTCAAAGCTCTTTAAATGCTGATCAAGAATGATATTATACACTCAAAACTCAGCAAAAAGATGCTGGTCCATGGTATTGAATAAATGATTACAGTGACCAGATAGATTCACTAAGCTGAACAATGCTAGGCAGAACTCTTAGCTAATTACTCTTTTGCCGGCTTTTTCTCAGGCCTTGCTCTCTTCCAGGTTTTGTTCCAGTCTCTCCTCCTTCTGGGACTCAAACTGCAAGTGCCTTTGCATTATGATATAGGGAAAGAGCAAGCAAGAATGCTGTGTTGGAGGAATTAGAGGAATCCTGTTCTTTGCAAATCTGTTACTCCCCAGAATACCATTTTACTGCCTCCTGTTCCTTCCACACCCCCACCCCCAAACATTCCAGGTTTGCTAATTTGGTCCTATAACAGGAGATGTGTAAGTACTATTTACCTTGCAGAAAATATCCCAGCATATTTATACCTGAGCTCCTGAGAGTCAGGGATCTCCTCCATCTTGGTCAACACTGTATCCTTGTGGCCTAGGGCAGGGTCTGCTCCATGAGAGATCTCAAAAACAATATTTATTAAGGGAATGAATTGATGACCGCAGGCTGAAAATAAACACCTGTTTGGGAATAGTTGACATAGATTCACAGTCCAGAAGTGAGTGCTTACAGAAAGCACAGGATGCTTACGTTCATCCCTACACTCTTCAACTTGACTTCCTGGAGGGCAACAGAGCTTTTCTACAAACTGTCTCGTGCTTCACAGAGACAAAATAGCGTAGATCAGTTTGGAAAATATGTAGGTCAGTCACCTTTAATAGAGGCCCTATTTCAATTCATGAGCAATAGTCATTTGTCTGTAATACCTTATGGTTTCTTGCACATAGGAAAACTGTTTTGTGGGCAGTCAAGACAGAAGTCTCCCTGAGAAGAGGATTCATGAACACTGACTCAGGGAGGAAGTAGGTGGGGGAGGAAGAAAAGGCTGCACACTGATTTAAAAAAAGAAAGAAAAATGCCTGCTGCCTCATATTCATGACTTCAACGTAAATGGCTGAGCACTTACAAACTGTTAACCAACACAACGCCAGCCTGTAAGAAGGCTCTGAGCCAGGTCATCCAGGGTCATTGGAGCACTATCTCAAGGAGGAAGGCCTCAAGAAAGATGCAACCCAGGAGAATCAGAGTAATAGTCTTCCTTTTGTTTAGTGCTTTATGCTTTACAAAGCATTCTTGAATGTAATCTCAACCACGGAGAGCCTGTAAGTGTATGCACCACTGGAGTGATTCTATAGAGCCCATCATTGATTCCACAATGTTTCTATCAAGGTAGATGGAGGAGGTATTCCTTTCTCTGGGCCAGTTCTCAGTGGAAACAGGATTCCAGAGGATGGTGACTCAAGACATTTGGCTAGAAGCCTGGCTGGAACAGGAACTCTGAAAGCAAGGTCTCTTCCCTGCCTCTCTGTGCCATCCTTTCAGGTTCCCAAGAGAATGTCTGCATACCACATCCTTGGGTTTTCGTCACTGCATAACTCCGCCTGTGATTGTGTCCTCAGCCTACCCAGCCTAAACTGTTCCCCACTTCCTTCCCTGCCCAAGTTTCTCTTCAGTACACACCCAGCATGTTTCTTCCTCCCCCAGCATCACCTGTCTTTCTCAAGTCCTGTCGATTGCTAATATGCTTCTCAGTTGTGTCACTTGTGTTCTGCAGAAAACTGCCCACTTGGTTCCAGTATGATTAGAAATGTTTTGAAACTTTGTTTTGCTTCTGAGTGCAATGATTTGGGATCCGATATACTCTGGAGCAGAGGTTTTCAAACTTTGGAGTGCGAATCGCCTCAGAGGCTGGTTAAACATACAGGCGCAGGGGCCCCACTTGAGATCTGAATGCAAGTCAGAGGCCCCACACATCTGTGTTTTCAACAAGTGCCCCAGCCACCACTGAAGGGTCCAAAGCTTGAGAGTCACTGTCCCATATTATCTGATTTGCTCAAGAAAACAAAACGGTTGCAACAGCCACCTTGACTTATACTTTTCTTGTTCTTGGTTTTCTAGATCCTTTTAACTCGATACCCATATCTTTCCTACTGCTTGTTCTAATTCTCTTGGTCCGAGTGTTAGATATTCCACATTGTTGGGGTTTAAGTTGACCCAGGTGTTCAGTATTCTAGATTGTTGGGTTTTGAGAAGGCCAATAAATAACACCCTCCTTTCCCTTCCTGAAATTATAAACAACTGAAAGAGATGGAGATCAAAACATTGCCTTCCTTTCTAATAAAGCAGACTGAACACTACAGCTCTAAGTCTGCAGTCATTTGGGCGTACTCATATTCCCCCCACCAGCTCCCCAATTGCAGGCACAGCCCCCTAGTCACTTAGCACAGCCAGACAACTATAGGCCCCTTAACCCAAGATAGAGCAGATGGGAATGCATGAGAGCAGAAGATAGGCCACTAAAAAAAAAAAAAGGAAGAAGAAGGAGAGAAAGAAAGGACGAAGAAGAAAGATATAGATAGAGAGGGAGAAAGGAAAAGAGAGGAGAAGCAGAGGGAGAGAAAGAAAGAGACAAGGCAGAGCAGACCCAGCTCATTGTTTTAAATTCACCAGTCAGAAAACTTACTCCTCTTACCTTCTAATCATAAAACCACTTGACATTTTCCTAACCTACTGCTTACTCTCTATCTCAACTCCCCAAAGGCTACCTCAGACCAGGGGACAATCTCATCATTGCTCTAAATAGCCTGTGATCCATCATCCCTACACTCTCTCTAACACCATCCTTTTCACTTCATGGTGCCTTCTCGTCCTATTCCATCTGCCCCTTGGTCTCTCCCCTCCTCTGAGAAGTCTTCTCCGTCCTCTTCAAAGCATTTTGCACATTATGTTCCGACAAATGTTCCCTGTAATAACCTGTTTGCCTATTTCCCTCACCACACTGTGCATCCAAGGCAGAAAGCACTCTATTCTTCTTTGCTGAGTGTCCAGCAGTAGCATAATGTCTGCCCCATATCCCCTCCTTCCTCCCTTCATGCCTTTCTTCATTCTCTCTCTCTTATGTACCAGCCCTCCCTAGGAACTGGTTTTTAAAAATGAGCAACGTAGGATCTCTGATCTTAACTTGTTTTCTAACAGGGGAAAGAGACATTTAAAGAAATTAATATATTTGATGTGCTAAGTTCTATAATTGAGATATATAAGATACAGTCAAGAGTATATGTATATAAGATGCAAGGAAGTCTTCATTCACTCAGTTATCCAATAAACATTTAGGGAGTGCTTACTAAGTGCCAGGCAGGATACTAGATTCTGCAGGTAAAATGATGAGCCAAATCTGACATGGAATTACCCTCATGGAGAATGGATGAATGAAATTAATGTAAGTGTGAAATGTTATTTTAGTCAGGGTTCCTGGTTGCAGGCATAGAAACTGACTCAGACTAACTTAAACAGAAAAGGAATTCATCGGGAGGAAATTGGGTGGTTCCTATGATCACAGGGGAGGCAGCAGACCAGGCTCAGAAAACAGAGGGTGCTGGCATTCTGGAGCTGGGCAAGCAAGGGAGCCAAGGAACTCACCTCACTAGCTCTCTGTTGGACATTTCCCCCCTGCCCGCCCCAGGTATTGTGTTCCTGAGTCCAGGCCTCTCGGATTCAGATTTCTAGTGCTGACTAGGATGAGCTAATAGGTAAAGGAGTCTGGGGTCTAACTTCACCTTATACTGACTTTCAAACATTCCATCGATTTTCAGCCTCCTCCTCACTCCCTCTTCCTAAATACTTGGTGCCAGCAATTATTTGAGCCTTGGTACAACTTGCAGGCTTAGCTTTGCTCTGTTCTGCTAAGTCAGGTGCCATTCCTGTGACTGCTGGCTTCCATCCTTGTTCTCATGTTATTTGGGTGTGATTTTTTTCTCTTTGGTTTGATTTTTTGAGAGAAGAGGGTAAAAGCATTTTTATGCTGACATGAGTATTTTCGTGTCTATGAGGCAGCTTTCCTGTACAAGATTATTCACAGATTAGTTTTTAATTAACATTCAATTTATTGAAGTAACAGTAAAGTCTAGCTTTTCCTTAAGCTTTCAAGTTCAATTTAAAAACCTTATTCTTCTACTTACAAGACTAGTAACTAAAATTCTTTCAAGGGAATCTTTCATAAAAGTAAATTAAATACATTTCAACATTGTAAATTGCACTTATAAATTTAACATATCCAATTTTCTTTTCCGGCCTTTCAATTTTCTGACAAATAAGCATTCCCAAGTACCTAAATAATTCTTATAAATTAAAAAAATAAATTTAAATTAGTCTTCTATTAAATATGCTAATACTATTTCCAAACCTAATACAATTCTTTTACACCCTTCAACATAGAATCACAAGCCTAAATAAGTTATTGAATGACAAGTTCAAATTGGACTCACAATTACAGAAAACACAAGGGGCTAGGGAACATGTGAAAGTTTGCTCCAAGGATGCACTCAGCAAAGTCCAGGTGGAGAGAATCTCTGCAGGACAATCAGGTTTCTTTAACAAATAAATGCAAGGAAAAAAAGAGAGACAAATGGAGGAGGAACTTAGAAATTAAAGAGCCTTAAAAGTGATATTAAGCAACTGAAAGGTGTGGATCCTGATTCAAATAAGCAAACTAAATAGAAAACAGGACATTTATGAGCCATTGGGAAAGTTGCATGTTGACTGCATATTTAACGATGTTAAAGAATCATTGTCATTTTTTTCCAGTTGTATAATGATATTGTGATTATGTTAGAAAAAAGGAGACTTTATCTTTTAGCATTTTTTACTGAGATATTTATAGATGAAATTATAGGCTACTTGAGATTTGCTTGAAAATAATAGAGGAAGAATGTACATAGTGGGAGTAAAGAGGAAACAAAATTGGCCACGAGCTGGTAATTGTTGAAGCTGAATGAGGGGTATGTGGTGGTTTATTATACTATTCTTTTTAATTTTGTATGTGTTTGAAATTTTCTGTAATAAAAGTTTTTAAAAATTTGAATCCCAAAGCAAAACAAATAGTCCAAATTCTCTTATATATTCTTAATACTTAAATATAAACATAGAATACACATGTTTATAAGTGTGTTATATTCTCAAACCTAACTGGAAAATAGTACTACTAAGTGAGTTTGACTTACTTCATCGTTTCTCCACTTAATTTAAATCTTTGAGAAGCTAAAAGTTACTTTCACTGAAGGAGACAATAAGTAACCTGGGGTTACCTACATGAACAATTTGGAGGTGCTTTCTAGGTTGGTTGTGAGGATGAGGTCTGGAAGTGTAGACTTCCAGAATCATCTTCTGCATGAACTCGAGGGAGAAGCAGAGCCCTCTTTTATGGTTGCCATGCCAATAGGAATTCCAAGCCCATGCCCTCCAAATGGGGTGGCCTCCCCACCCCTGTCACCTGAATCAGGTTACACGTATTATCTAATTCTTAAGTGTGATTTGAGTCTCTAACCCACCCATGTTGTTTCACTATTTGATTTATCGACATAGCAATAAAGCTTTTTAGTGCTTGAAGCTATTTAGAATTCTTTTCACATTCTATCAAGGTGAGAGGGTCACACTGCTTATATTTAAAGACATCCAATTGGATTCTGCACCAAACTCTGGCTTTACAGTCACAACACCAAAGGCGTGCTAATGACACTTAATCTGACAGGGTGCCAGTTGTCTCCCTTTTGCTCCTCTGGATCCACTCTTTGCCTTGTCCACCCTGCTCTCGGCCCAAGAAGTTGATTTGAATGGACTACACTACATGGAGGGGGTTCCTTGCCCTCTGGTTTCTGTTTGGTTTAGGCCAATGAGGAACCCCTGCAGGAGACTGGAGAGGGGACTGACAGGGAGTTCAGAGTAATAATTACCCTGGGTTGCTCCTGGCAAGGTCACCTCTGGCTGGCTATGCCCTTCAACAGAAGATTACTGCTCCCCGCAAGGTAGCCAACTACAGCATTCTCTCCTTCTGGAGTCCAGTAACTGCTCCCTCTCTTTGTCCCTTCTGGCCTGGAAAGAACAGCCAGGGCTACTAAACCTGGGTTATGCTATCACTACACCTGTGATTCCACTCCCACCTCTGTAAAGAATCCCTGTGTAAATAAACCGTCTTGGAATTATACCAATTTGAGTATGTTCATCTGTTTTCTGCTGAAGCCCTAAGTGACATACTGACTTAAAGCTAGAAATCATTGTTGTCCATTTTGGATTAAATTCATTTTTTCATTTTTAATTACACTCATTAGATTATTCCTGTCAGAGAATTTTGGAAATTATAGTTTTAAACTTGCTGGCACTGAACTCTAAAGTCATGAAACACTTCATGACATGCCCCTCTTAGCTGCTCTCACACCACTGTCTCTTGGTTTTCCTCCTGTCCATCTCCCTGCCACTTCTGAGAGGCCCTTGCTGTCTGTCTTCCTCCACCTGATCCTGACATGGCCCCGGGGCCAGGTTCTGGGTCCTTTTTCTTTTTTTCTACACTCTCTCCTATGTGTACTCAACATTCCTGTGGCTTTAAATCTATATCTAGCCCAGCCTGAATTCTCCAGACACATCCGTTCAGCCACCTGCCTCATTTTAGATCTCTGCTTGGATAGCTCAGAGGTATCTCAAACTCAACAACTCCCCAATGGAATTACTCATTTCCGCCATCATCAAGCCCCTCAAACCTGCCCCTCTTTTAGTCTTCCTGTCTCATGAACCACACCCCCTTCAAGCTAGTCCTCAAAGCGTCACCTGAAGTGTCTTTCCTCTCACTCCCACATTCAATCAATCCATCAGCAAGTTCAAAACTTTCAAAATATATCTGGACTGTCTTCCCTTCCCTCCATCTCCACTGTTGCCACCCTCCATCTCGTCATCACCATCATCTCTTTAATTTTTTGTTTGTTTGTTTGTTTGTTTTGTTTTGAGGAAGATTAGCTCTGAGCTAACATCTGCTGCCAATCCTCCTCTCTTTGCTGAGGAAGACTGGCCCTGAGCTAACATCCATGCCCATCTTCCTTTACTTTATATGTGGGACGCCTACCACAGCATGGCTTGCCAAGTGGTGCCATGACCACACCCGGGATCCGAACTGGCAAACCCCAGGCCCCCGAAGTGGAACGTGTGAATTTAACTGCTGCGCCACCGGACCGGCCCCAGTTACTGTCATCTCTTGACCTAACTGCAGTGCAGCATAACTTCATTAGATTTGCTTGTAATCTTGCCACCCTCCAAACTACTACTCACAGTGCAGCCAGACTAATTTTTTTAAAACAGAAATTATATCATGTCATTCCTTTTGTATTAAAACCCTTCAGTGACTCTGTGCTGCATTTAGATTAATATCTACATGTATGGCCTGTGTCCTAATTCCATGTTATCACCACCAAGGCTTACAAAGTCAACATGACCTGGCTCTTACCTCATCTCCTTCCACTCTCCTCCTCACCATACTCCCAGCATATGGTAAGCTATTTCCATCCCCTTTAGACTTTTAGTTGTTCCTGCAGCCTGAAGCTGTCTCTACTCTCCCACACACATGCTTGGTTTCCTTTCTGATCTCAGCTTTGTGAACCTTTTCTGGCCCCACTAAGAGAGACTCCCTGTTGGTCAGTGGTCCCGACTTGCTCACAGCCATCAAGATGTGTCCTCTGGGATCATCTTTGATTCATCTCTCTTCTCTTTTGCACCGTGAATGTTTGACAACTCCAGTGGATTGTTGAATCAAATCTGTTTCTCCTCTCTGTCTCTTCCTACAGCATAGTCCAGAAAGACATTACAGGGTGGCTATCAAGGGTGGATAAGATTAGAAAGGACAGAGATGGGCCCTCAGTGTGGGCTTCCATAGGAGCCAAGATCAGCAGCAGAGCAAGCCTGATATTCTCTGAGAAATGAGGAGAGACTCCACAGCAGCCTACATGTATTTTTCTTTATTGCGAACTTATGTTCATTTATTTTCAATATTAATCACTTCAGGACTATGGGCCCTTATCTTTTTGAGAGGGTCATTGACCCTCTTGAATACATGATAAAAGCTGACTCTTTTTCAGAAAAATGAAAATAAATACAAAATTTTGCAAATCATGAGGGAAAGGAATTCCCAGGCTAAACTGATGGTTTACCAGTCGATCGTCTACTACCTTGGATACCCGTAGTGTTAATTGTTTCATTCATTCAGCAAATACTGGAGACCTACAATTAGGTCAAGCACAGTTCCAGATGTTGGGATTGTACACGGTATAGAACAAGACAGATGCTTGTCCCTGCCTTCACGGAGCTTGCATCTAGCATAAGAGACAGTCATTAAACAAGGAAACAAATGATAATTTAATGTCATATAATGGTAAATGTTATGAAAAAAATAAAGGAGGGCAATGGGATAAGGGTGAGTGAGGCTATTTAAATGGTGTGGTCCTCTCTGAGATATTTGAACAAGATCTGTATACAGTAAGGCAGTGGTCATGAGAAGAGATGAGAGAAGAGCATTGCTTGCAATGAGAATAGAAAATGCAAAGTGCAAAGGCTCCCCTCCACCCCGACCCCCGCCAATATAAGGCAAAGTCCAAGATTCTGCACATTTTCTTCCTCCCATGATGAATAGCCAACACAGTTCTCAGAACACAGTGCTGGGGTATCGGGTTGGAGGGCCTCTACATCTCCCGGTTTCAAACGTCAAATCCAGTCCCACTTCCCTTCAGTGCTTCTCTGAAATGTCTCTTCTAGAAAACCTTAATTCATTCACCAAAAAGTGATCCCGAATTCCTCTAATGATTAGTATAAACTTTAAAAAACAATAGTGTTGGCTACTTTCCAAAGACGTGTGCGTGGGGGAGTGATTTTGGTTTTTTTGGTAAAGTTGGAGGCAAGCTGCAGCAACTAAACGCGTGAGCACGTCGGACGGATCCCCCCTAGTCTCCAGCGGCGCCCGGGTTTCTTTCCCGAGGAGACTACATTTCCCAGAGTGCCCCGCGGGGCAGGAAGGCACGTGGAGCCGTGTCTCCCAGGACCCGGATTGAGGCAAGATGGCGGGCTCGCAGTGAGCAGCTGTCAAGGTAACCGCTGCCCTCTCCACGTACGGTCAAGGGGTCCCTAGAAGCTGGGCAGGCCCAGAAGGTTTGTCGGCAGGTGTAGAGGTCCCTTACCTGTTGTTCGCGGCAGGATAAAGCCTCTGGCATCATTAGACTCGGTCCGTTGTGCAGAAGTGCCGGCATGTGGCCGTGCGCTTCCTGTGAGGTCCCCTTGTGCCTCAGCCGATCGCTCGAGGACTCCTCCAGGTCCAAGTCTTGCGAATCTGTCCCTGGGTGCTAGGCCCCGTGCTCTTGGTGGCCGGTTCTTCCAACCTGGGGCCTTCCGAGACTCTCCGCAGCTTTTGCTTGGGGGTTGAATTCTGGGCCAAGGGGTTACCCTCTAGCTTTCCGTGGGGTGACGTCCCTGACCCCCAGCTGGATGTGCTTGCCTCTTGGCCTGGGACAGAGGGGACCTAATGTTCCCCCAAATGTTTTGTTGCGCGAAATCGTTTGACCTCTCTGAGCCTCGGTTCTTTTTTTTTTTTTTTGCTGTCCCCAAAACCCGCCCAGTAGCTAGTTGTGTATTCTAGTTGCAGGTCGTTCTAGTTGTGCCGAACCTCGGTTCTTAATGTATAAAATGGAAATGCTTCCTTCACAGACTTATGAAAGAGCACATAATGTTCGTATAGGAAAGCGGGGTGTAACCTGTAAAAAGCACACTCTGTGAACAGAGGAAAAGCAGTGCTAATGTACTGACTATTTAGCCTAGCAAATAAGACTTTGCAGTCTGTGTCCTAACTCCATTTTTTCACTCTAGGGGAAGGGAAAGAGTAGTCATCGAGGCCAGTTAAAACCAAGGGATGTAACAACTGTTATGTGTCTGGTTATATGTCATTTATTCACAACAGCATGGAGATTGTGGTTGTTTTCCCCCTTTACCATGGAAGAAACTGAAGGTTGTTCAGTTAATGACTTGCCCAAAGTTTCCCAGTTTGTAAGTGACTGACTCCAAAGTTCTTGGAAGCGAGTCGTTTAAATTTTGTACTTTAGTTTCTTCATGAATCAAAATAAAGATACCTCTCATGATTACTAAAAGAGTAAAATGAAATAGTAGTGAAAGCACTTTGGAAAGTTAAAACCCTTATACGTAGACAAGAGGGTGAGATTTTATTTTGGACTTTAGGGTGTTATCTGTGTTCCTCTAAATCAGTATTTAATAGGCCAAGGATAGCCCTTCATTCAATGAGAAACAGAATACTACTTTAAGAGATGTGATAAGATCTTGTGTGTGGTACCTGGGAGTTTGCACACAGACACACTAGCAGTATGAAAGAGGCCGCTGCGTGTAGCATGTGTCCTGTTTCTAAGGGTAATTACAGATTTGTTGAGCATAGATTCAAAGGAAAGAACTCCATGAGGTGCCGAGAAGTTTACATTTGAGAGAAACAGTAATGGATATAGTTTTGGGGTTTCTGATCTATTTTGATGATGTTGCTCTTCTGTATCGCATAGAAATGGAAAGTTGCCTAAAAGTTTTGCTTTAGGTGACTAGTTCTAGTGATTCCTGTCTTGTTCTTGTAGTGTTGAGTATATTGCGTCACTTTTTTGGGGTTTTTTTTAAAGATTTTATTTTTCCTTTTTCTCCCCAAAGCCCCCCCGGTACATAGTTGTGTATTTTAGTTGTGCGTCCTTCTAGTTGTGGCATGTGGGACGCTGCCTCAGCGTGGCTTGATGAGTGGTGCCATGTCCGCGCTCAGGATCCAACCCCGAGAACCCCTGGGCCACTGAAGCAGAGCGCGCGAACTTAACCACTCGGCCATGGGGCCGTCCCCTATCTTGTGTCACTTTAATTTACCATAGGTAGAACTCATTTTTCTTTTTCTCTTACTCAGGGATGAAAATAGGTATGCCTAGAAGCAGATTTTAAAAAAAGTTTCTCTTCAAATCATCTTCTTTCGTAACAGCTGATGAGCATCTTGATTCACCATGGCATTAGCAGCAGTAAAATGGGCAATATCAAGCAGAACCGTCTTGAAACATTTATTTCCAATTCAAAGTAAGTGAGTTTTTTAATGTTTAAAACCAGTTTTAGACTTTTTCAAATAATGTAGAAATACGTGTTCATTGTAGAAGATTTAAAGCGTTTGGTTATTGTATATGCCTGTTAATAGCAGGAGAGGTTGCAATAACGGAAAAGGGGAGAAAGCCTAAATGTATGTTAAAAGTGGGGTGGATAAGTTATGGTACATCTTTATTATGAATATCGTGCAACTGTTACCAACATGGAAAGATCTCTAAATAGAAGGGGAAAAAAAGTATGTCATGGAACAATATCTATTATATGATCTCGTTTGTGCATTTAAAAGATAATTTACCATATACATGTGTATGTGTATATGTATAAATGTAGAGTAAAAGGTGGGGACCAAATAGATTATCTGTGTAGACCACAAGTGGCATTTAGCTGAGGGTGAGTGAGGGATTGATAAAGAGGAACTTTGTCTGGTTTGAATCACTTGTATTTACTGTTTTCACATATTACTTTTTTAGTAGTTCTTTTTTTTTTTTTTTGTGGAAGATTAGCCCTGAGCTACCATCCATGCCCATCTTCCTCTACTTTATATGTGGGACGCCTACCACAGCGTGGCTTGCCAAGCTGTGCCATATCCGCACCTGGGATCCGAACCGGCGAACCCCAGGGTGCTGAAGCAGAACGTGCGAACTTAACTGCTAAAGGGCATATTTACAATTCCATCTTACGAAGATAATTGTTGTTAATATTTTGGTGTATTCGCTTTGTGTTTTATCTATGTACATAGCCATTTAAAAAATGGAGAGCTGAGTCTCTTGACATTCTTTTTGGCCCATTGAGTTGCCTTGGGTTGATTGATGTTAACTTTGGCATCGGTCTTAATTATACATTTAGAACCTCTGATAATTATTGTATCTAGAATCTTTCTCTTGATAAAATGTCAGGTGAGTTTTTCAAGTATTAATTATCCAGAAATTAACATTTTAGAGGCAGTTTGGCATTCACTTTATTAGTAGCCACTATAGGGGACACAGTAATGAACAAGGTGTGGTTCCTGGCCTTAACGGTCTTATTTAGACTTGTCGGTGAAGCAGACATCTATGGAAACAAGAAATAACTGGAGTATGAGGTAGAATGTGATATATGTCATGAGGCTATGAACAAATGGATATGTAAGTGCAGACTAGAAATTTTACAGTTTCTTGTGGAACTGAAATACTGTTGTCTTGAGTTTTCCCTGCTACCTATCTAAGAACACTTAATTCTATTTGTCCTGCCTCTGCCACCCAACCCTGTTTCTTTCAGCACATGTGTACATCACCTAGCTGGTTTGTATTCAGAGAATACAAACTTCTTTTGATATCAATCCATGCATAATTAGGAAGATCCCCAATAGTGTCAAACAAGAAAATAAAATATGTGTAAATGATTTTTACATTATCTGCTGATTTATCTTACTGAATCTTCCTGTATATTAGCACAGATAATTGAAAATTAATAAATCTTTTTGAGAGATGAGGTTAAATTTCTGATTCTTTATATTTTGTTACCTTAGATCAATAGAATTTGGGGGTTGATGTTTTGCTGAACAATCTTTTAAAATAGTGAATTTTGTTAAGGTACGTTTTATGCTTTGGGATGAGAATTTATATTTAGACCTCTAAGTATATGCAGTCCTTGGGGAAGGGAGATGTATGCAAAGACGGAAAACACATCTTTGATAACATAAATAACTTGCAGAAAAAAAATAAAGTCTGCAAAGAAGGAATGGCAGTGTCATATGAGGCACTGGTTGTGGGACATGTAAAACAGACAACTCTTCCCTCTGTGATGGGGCTTGTGGGGCAGGGAGGGGAAAAAGGATTTTGTGGGAGAGAAGCCTTTGACTTTGAAGGGTGAGTGGTATTTGAGCAAAGTGACGATGGTGTTCCATACTGAGGAGCAAGAGGCTCATCTGAGAGAAGCTGATCCTTGGCTTCAACCAGGATATATTCAGAACTGGTTTTTAACTATACTGAGGGATATTTACATTTTTTTCTATATATTTAAAAGAACACCCTTTCTTTGAACATAGAAGAACCTTTCACAACTTTTTAAAAAGTAATTATTGCTCTTGAATTTGTAGGTATTCTAAAAAAGAAAAATATGCTTTAAAATGTGAGAATTTTGATTAAGGAAAGTTAAATTTGAACAATTTACTTTGTATTTCATCAGTTAATACGTCCCATTTATGAACTAGGTGCTCCAGTCGCACCAGAGTTTTTAGAATACCCAACTACTTCCTGTTCTTTCTTACCTCTGGTCCTTGGCACTTGTTACTCCCTCTGCGAGGATTGTACTCATCCCCTACCAACTCTTACTTATTCCCTCATCCTTCAGAGCACCTTAGATCCACAAGAAGGGTCTTCCTGAATCTGCACAGTTGTGTTTGTAATTTGTCCGGGTGCCCTTCCCTCTCCCATGCTTGGCTGTCCTAACAGAGCTCATCTTTTTTTTTTTTTTTTTTTTGGTGAGGAAGATTTGCCTGGAGCTAACATCCATGCCAGTCTTCCTCTATTTTTTAGTATGTGGGCCATCAGCAGAGAATGGGTGCTAACAGAGCGGTGTAGGTCCGCGCCGGGGAAGCAAACCTCGGCCGCTAAAGCGGAACACAGTGAACTTAACCACTAGGCCACTGGGGCTGGCCCCAGAGCTTATCTTTTGTATTGGAGTTATTTGTTTACTCACCTGTCTCTCATCAGACTTGTACCCTTTCTGAGGGTAGGGATTGGAGCTCACTTGTTGTTGAATCCCTAGCTCCTAGTACAGCCCTGTTTCATAGTAAAAGCACAGTAAATATTGGTTGAATGAGTGAAACTTGTTTTACATTTATGTGAGAACATACGCTCAAATTAACTAAATCCATTTTACTGTTTTGGGGTTTTTGCAGACGGAGCTTTATATTGTGTTTTCCATAAATCTACGTATTCTTCTCTTCCAGATGACTATAATTGGTATGTATTAAAATTCAGTTGAAAAAAATAATGTTAGCTGTATCTGAAATGATTTAATTTTGTTTCTTGTTTTGGTGTTTTCTTCTTTCTTTTCTGATTATCCTTTTTTTAATTTTGTTTTTAAAAATGATTCTAGTGATCTTATTTACCCAGTATCTGGGCTTATCAACATTTTAAATAAAAATCATTATCATTGTTGTTTCAGTGAATACTTAATTTGTTGTAGGACAGACATGCTGTTAGAAATGCTATCTTTTCTTCCTAAAGCATTCTTTAGATTTCTGGAAAAGTTAATTAGTTTTTCTAGTTTTCTCGTAGGATTCATGTCTATTAGCTTAAGCAGTTATTTGTCTTTTGTTTGACGTTGAATAATCCTAAATTACAAATATTTAATTCAACCGCAATTTATTTGGTATTCAGTTCTAGTCACTATGCTGAGCACTGAGAATAACATGTGAATAAGATGTCTTTTTTCTCTATAGCAGAGTCTGATGTGCAGAAACTGCAACATATTTTTTAAGCTACATTGTTTTTATTGCAAATTTTAGTAAAAATATATTTTCTTCCCTCTTGACACTAATTTTCATTTGAGTTTTAATTGTACATTTAGTAAGTACTAAGAGACTGATGAAATTAGACTAGGTAATAGGTAACACTTTTTGAACTTGACTGAGTTTTCTAAGTGTTTTGCATTATGTAAAACTCCGTCCTTCATCAGAAATCATTTGATAGATTATGTTCATTATAGTCATGCTATGGTATACTCAATCTTAAAATCATGGTGAAACAACCTAATACCTTATCCTGTGTTAGCTAAACCACGCCTTATGGTTTAATTGCTGATCTGGCTCAGATCTGGTTGGTGTTGAAATCCTAGAAACTTAAATTTATAGACACCTAGAGAACACAAGTTTAATAAAAGCTGAAAGTCGTGCTCCTTAGAGTGTATATGGATCTAAGTGCAATAGTAGTTGCCAGGGTCTTTGAAAACCAGGCTTGGTTAGTTGGTACCCGAAGGAATCAGATCCAGCCAGAGCATTCTGGGAAGAAGTGTTTAGAGGAGTATTGCCCAAAAACTGTTCTTCTGAGGGATATTAATGGAGAGAAGGGGTAATATTCAGTAATTCCCAAGTTTGTTTGACCACAGAACCCTTCTTATAGTTGTACTGTTCTGCCAAAGGCACTTGGAGGAATTCTTTTTTTTTTTTTTTTTTTTTTTAAAGGTGATATTTTATTTTTTTTTTTTTTTTATTTTTTTTCTTTTTCTCCCCAAAGCCCTCCGGTACATAGTTGTGTATTCTTCGTTGTGGGTTCTTCTAGTTGTGGCATGTGGGACGCTGCCTCAGCGTGGTCTGATGAGCAGTGCCATGTCCGCGCCCAGGATTCGAACCAACGAAACACTGGGCCGCCTGCAGCGGAGCGCGCGAACTTAACCACTCGGCCACGGGGCCAGCCCCTGGAGGAATTCTCATCTAGAAAAATTGCTCAGCCACAATCTTTATGATTGGAAATTCAGGTGATCCTTTACCTGGAAGATTATGTCCTTTGCTGGTCTTCAACTTCAATAATTTAACCAAGTAATGTCCTTCTTAGAACTGTTTGAACGTAGTTTTTAGATAAGGAAAAGAAGTTCTAATGATAGTGATGAATAAACATAAAGATTTCTTCCAAAGATTTGGATAGTCTAAAAACAAGTATGTAATTTGAAGAATAATTTATGTAAAATAGTGGGTTATGCAATAAGGGTTTGTTGTGGTACTTAAGCTGACTTATTTGGGGGACAGTTTGAGTTGTCTCCTGTGATATGAGTGCCAGGTTTGCCAGTCCAATGCCGTTGCGTTGATCCTTCAGGGACTCATGATTAATTAATTTAGCTCTAAGAATAGTTGTTCTGCCTTGAATACAGTATAATCTGTTTCTGAAACATTCTTTTTTAGCAAAGTGGAGCTTGCTTTGACCTCTGATGGCAGGACGATAGTCTGCTACCACCCTTCTGTGGACATTCCATATGAACACACAAAAGTATGTATGAGAAAATCTCTTACAATTTTTAATTTGCTGTTAGAAATATTCACACTTTCTTACAGTACCCAAAGAGAAGGGAGTTGTTTGATTTCCTTTATTGGTTTAGATCTTCTTTTGGCTTTTTTATTATACTCTTTTGATTTTTGTCTTATTTCTTTTTCATCTTTCTTTAGAGGCTATTTTTAGTACACGGAGTGAACCATTTAAACGCAATTATGGCATCAGTTTTCTGGTCTAAAATTTGGTAGATTTCTGTAGGGATAAAACACCTGGTTTAAACTTACAAAACAAAATTGTTCCATGCTACCTTATATTATAATCTAATAAATTTTGAAAAACTTGTGTTTTAGAGTGTTGTTTCATAATTTTATATTGTATTGCTTCTGATAATCCTTTTAATATTTGGTAAATTTCTTTTACTTTAGTTAGTTTTTTCTAATGGACCAACATGGGCATATATTTTAAGTGGCCTAGTTTTATTTTTTCCATATTTCTTCAAAAGTCAGGCACTTGATAGAGGAAATTTTGTTTTGACTTTAGTACAATTTATTTCAGCTTGGCCCAGGTCTTTTTTTTTTTTAACAATTGGCATCTGAGCTAACAACTGTTGCCAATCTTCTTTTTTTTTTTCTGCTTTTTCTCCCCAAATCCCCCCAGTACATAGTTGTGTATTTTAGTTGTGGGTCCTTCTAGTTGTGGCATGTGGGATACCCCCTCAGCGTGGCCTGATGAGTGGTGCCATGTCCGTGCCCAGGATCTGAACCAGCGAAACCCTGGGCCGCTGAAGCAGAGCGCATGAACTTAACCACTCGGCCACGGGGCTGGCCCCTTTATTCCCTTTTTAACCTCACCATTTTGTCTGCCTGCTTTGTACACTAGCCAGATATAGGCAATAATTCAGTACCTCTTTTGTTTCATTTCTTTGAGCCATGTGTAGGAAATAGGCCTAAGTCACTGACTTTTCACCTGTAAACCCTCCAGCTCACACTAATTGTGCCTTCTTCCATTGTTATTTCATGGTATATTATTGGTTACATGCTTTATCCTGTTGTGGCAGTTGTACCAAGAAGCCCAAGACTGTGAGGTTAGGTCTCAGCATCCAGACTCTCATCCACATGCATCCTGAATCTGACCCTTTTTCTATCCCTCCCAACTCTCAAAACCTTTCTACTATACTTTTGGAACTTACTACATCAGTAAAATAATCTTATAACCTTGACCTCTTCCAGAATCTTGCCTTCACCTTCTGGCTCTGACAGAAACCTAGCTGTACCCTCGGGCCATTGCTTCCCTAGTAGTCTTTTAAGTAGTTGCCCTTTTCTCTCCTGTACCCTTTTACTACTGGGCCTGGGGGTGGAGTAGATGTCCCTGTAGCTCCTCATTGTCACATCCAGACCATTTTTCCTTCTCCCTAACAGTTTCTAGCTTTGTAGTTTGTATCATGAAACTATGCCTTCTACTATCTTTTTTTGTTGCTATCATCTGCCAACGTGCAGTTTATTTCTTCTCCCTCCCCCACCCCTCCACTCTTCCTTGAAGATGTACGTGTACTGTCACACTCTCCAACACTGTTTCTATCCTAATTCTTTGTTATTTCAGTATCCATGTAGAAGATCTGTCTAATACTCTGGGCTCTCACTTCTTGATCTTTTCTCCCTACTTCAGCCCCGACTCACCTGGTTGTACCCCAGGGATGTTCTAATCACAAATAACTGGTCCTCCTTCCTCCCACTCTAGATTTCAAGAATTCTACTGGCTTACTGTCAACTCCCCCTAATCTCCCAGCTCCAAGGATTGTTCATCCCTCATTGAGAACTACATTCATTGATGAACCACTTTTTCACAGTCCCTCCTGTATCTCACACATTCTCACTTCTCTCCTACCCAGCGTAGATTCCATGGTCCGTCATTGTACACACCCCCTTGCATACATGCCCAACTTCCTGCCTCCCCTTTTTTGTTGCACTCCTCTTGTTGCAGCAGTTGTGTCCTGTCTCAAATCATCAGTATTCCTTTCTCTAGTCTAGAAGACTGTTCCTATCAGTTTACACGTCATACTCCACTGCTGCCACACTGGCCTCCTGCTGCTCTTCACATACATTAGACAAGCTCCTGCCTCAGGGCCTTTGCAGTTCCTGCTTCCTCAGCCTGGAATGTTTTTTCCCCCAGAAATCCTAAGTTTATTCCCTTTCCTTTAGATCTTTCCTTATTCATTACCTAGCGAGGCCTTCCTTGGCCACTGCATTTAGAGTAGTACCCCAGCCGCTGGATTCCCTATTGTCCTTTGCTTTACTTTTCTCCATAGCATTTATCATTTCTGGCACACTGGATATTTTCTTGTTTTTCTGTCTATCTCCCACCACTAAAACGTAAGCTCATGAGGGCAGGGCCTTCTCTCTTGTTCCTTTCTGTGTCCTCAGCACCTGGAATCAGTGTCTTTTACTTGGTAGGAGCACAATAAATATTTGTTGATTAAATGAATAAATTTGTTCCTCCCTCTTCATGCTTGAGAGTTTTCTGTTTTAGGGCTAAGAGACATTCACCTAGGGAAGCATGAAATTTTTTTGTTTCTCAAGTAATAAATTATAGATTGGGCTGCGCAATAAGAAACATTCTTGAAAACATGTTACTGTTAGAATAAAGTATGCTGTTTTTGAAACCAGATTTACAAATCTCATGAAGACAGTACATAACACTGAATAAACATCCTCAAACAGGGCTTAAAATATAGACTTGGGGCTGGCCTGGTGGCATAGTGGTTAAGCTCGTGCGCTCCATTTCAGTGGCCTGGGGTTCACTGGTTTGGATCCCTGGTGTAAACCTACGCACCACTCATCAAGTCATGCTGTGGTGCCATCTCACATGCAAAATAGAGGAAAATTGACACAGATGTTAGCTCAGCAAGTCTTCCTCAAGCAAAAAGAGAAGGATTGGCAGGGTCTGGCCCAGTGGCGCAGTGTTAAGTGTGCATGTTCCACTTTGGCAGCCCGGGATTCGCCAGTTCAGATCCTAGGTGTGGACATGGCACCACTTGACAAGCCATGCTGTGGCAGGCATCCCACATATAAAGTAGAGGAAGAGGGGCACGGATGTTAGCTCAGGGCCACTCTTTCTCAGCAAAAAGAGGAGGATTGGGAGCAGACGTTAGCTCAAGGCTAATCTTCCTCAAAGAAAAAGAGGAAGATTGGCAGTAGATGTTAGCTCGGGGTCAATCTTCCTTACCAAAAAAACACACAAAAATATAGACTTGATTTTCCTCTTTTCTCAAGCAAGTAGGGCTGCAACTCTAGTGGGCCCTGTGCTTCTCCGAGCCCTGGGAAACATGTTGTGTACAAAGATCCTGGTCATAGGTACAAATACCAACTGAGGCTGGCTTTAAGAAAGTGGAGATGATTTGCATCTTTGGTTTTCTGGTAATTCGCATTTGAATCTAAAACGTGTTGATTATCTTCCCTAGATCCAGGTAAAAAGATTGTTCTTTCTGCTTCTGCCACGTATATGTTTTATTAAAAGTAGTAATCTGAAAATGTTTTTCTCAAATTTAGGATTTCTAATTTAGAAAAATAAAGATGTTATACCAGGGGCAAAAAAATAATGACTTGGAAAAATAAAGTAAAAATTTAAGTACTAATCAGTTCTTTTTAGTGGCTGATTTACTGGAAAATTTCATAAGTCAAATTTTAAAAATTCTTAAGAAAAGGGAAATTCAGGATGACAGTTCTGAATGTTTTATGAAGTTGGTATTCAGTTTTATTTTAGTTTTCCTTTTTACTGAAACATTCATGTACCCTTTCTTTGAAGTTTGATCAAGGAGATCAGATACTACCAAAAAATCAATTCTGAGTCTGCTGGAGGTTCTTGGTGTAGACTTTGAAGAATCTGTTAATTCCGATGTCTTTTATCTATGTCCCTGGAAAAAAAAAGTTTTTAATCATACAAAGCAGAGACAATTTGTGATATATTGGAATTGAGCCCACTTGGGACTAGGAAGAGAGACAATGCACATTTATGAACACTTGAAAATCACTTTTTGATCATAGTTAAAACATTTGATCTTTAGCAACAGGTGTAATAACTTAGAGAGGAAACTGTTTATAGGGTCTAATCCCATGTTTGCTAGTACCCCTCAGGGTCTAATAGTAATTTACAAATACACTTACTGATATTTCACTTTACTTACAAGAAGTGATCTTTTAAAATTACTTAAGTGTCTAAGGAGCACTTTTTCTTTAAAATAAATTTACATCACTTTTTTCCCGTTTGAGGCTTTAATAGAAATGTTAATAGCTACCTACCATTATTGAACTCTTAAAGTGTGAGAGACGGCTAAGTATATTTTATTATTTCACTTAATCCTCATCAAACTCTTATTAGGTAGATAGTACTTCGCTGATATTACAGAAAGGGAAATTAAGAGCTTAAATAACTTGCCCAAGGGCCCCGAGCCAGAGCTAGTAAGTGGCAGAATCAGAGTCTAAAGCCCAAGTTCTTAACCTCTTCATAATACTTTCTCCTTATTCCCTCCCACGCTAGGTAAGTGGTCCCTTTTTCTACTTATGTCAAGTTGTTACTTCTAAGTCTGACTTTGAGGGTCTTTCATAATCTGGTTTCTTGAGATCCCTTTTTTTTTTTGAAGAAGAAGATTAGCCCTGAGCTAACTGCTGCCAATCCCCCTCTCTGTTTTTTTGCTGAGGAAGACTGGCCCTGAGCTAACATCCATGCCCATCTTCCTCTACTTTATATGTGGAACGCCTACCACAGCATGGCTTGCCAAGCGATGCCATGTCTGCACCCAGGATCCGAACCAGTGAACCCCGGGCCGCTGAAGTGGAACGTGCAAGCTTAACCGCTGTGCCACCAGGCCGGCCCCTTGAAATCCATTTTTTAAGATTACGTCTTTGTTGTGTGTTCTTCCCTGTGTTTCTTTACTCATAATGTTCATTATCCCTTGTAGAATGTGTTCTGCACTATCTGATGAGGCTCTGACTTGGCTCCCATTCTACTTCTCACTGATATCTTTGTTACTTTGCATTTCTGATGTACTTAGTCAATTGTGTCACCTTTTGCACTTATATCGCCTTTTAAAGAGGTCTTATTGTTTCATGTACATAAATTAAATAAATATATGTTGTAACATTTATTACAGTTGGTAGAATATAGTAGTTGTCATTAGTAGTGTATGGATGTAAAGAGGACATCCATGTTTGAATTGTTCCTTATCTGGTTGTAAATTTAGATTTTCATTGTAGTGTAATATATATGTATGGTATTTGTGAACCATTCTTCTCACATCAAATTTTGGGTTTTTCCCCCAATAATAAAAGCCTTACTTACAGTTCTTTTTTTCCCCTCAATAATAAAGTACTTATCATTTTTCCCCAATAATAAAAGCCTTACTTACAGTTCTTTTTTTCCCCTCAATAATAAAGTACTTATCTTACATCTATGCTGCAATCTTGTGTTACATACATTATCACTTAATATTTAAAATATAGGTAACCTGACCCTCCAAGACAGTGATTCTTAAAGGCTTTAGTGAGCCACTGTTACTGATGGGAATATGTTATATCACTCGTGTGTTGGGGAGGAGATGAGATTTTAAGTAAGTAGTGTCTTTGGGGGAAAAAACCACTCAGATTACCCTAAAGCATTGGCATTTCAGTTACCTAAAATAAACACATTGAAATTTTTCCTCCTTCTGTTAGATGTAAGAAATGTCACCTTCAGTGAAAGATTTTTCATTGTCTCTCACTTTAATGATGTACGAGGTAGAGACTGTAAACTTCTAAGTTAAAAAATAATAATGAGCACAACTTACAGTTTTGAGAAATAGAAACTAAAATGATAAGTACTTTATTATTGAGGGGAAAAAAAGAACTGTAAGTAAGGCTTTTATTATTGGGGGAAAAAACCCAAAATTTGATGTGAGAAGAAAAACATTTTTGATTCTTTAATGAATAATGCGACTAAGTGAAACCGTTCTGTTAACTTATATTTACCCACCTTGAGGTACTGTAATAAATTATTGAGAATGGTAATTGTTTCATTGTGAACTCACTCAGATGCCGGCTAACATTCTTGCGTATTTATGCTGTTCATTACTGATTATTTTGTAGCCTATCCCTCGGCCAGATCCTGTGCATAATCATGAAGAAACACATGATCAAGTGCTGAAAACCAGATTAGAAGAAAAGAGTGAACACTTAGAGCAAGGACCTATGATAGAACAACTTAGCAAAATGTTCTTTACTACTAAGCACCGTTGGTATCCTCGTGGACAGTAAGTTCTATTTTCTTCAACTCCTATTAGACACACTAAAGGAACACATAACTTACCTTGCATTAACAAACTTCTAAGTTTGTATTCTGCCTAGAGAAATTCACACCCAATATGATCACCCAGTCTATTTTATTGAGGTATAGTTGACATATATTAGTTTCAGGTGTACAACATAATGATTTGATATTTGTGAATATTGAGAAATGATCACCACACTAAGTCTAGTTAACATCTGTCACCACGCACAGTTACAAAGTTTTTTTTCTTGTGATGAGAACCTTTAAGATTTACTCTCTTCACAACTTTCACATATGCAATACAGTATTATTAACTATAGTCATGATGTTGTACATTACATCCCCATGACTTATTTATTTTATAACTGGAAATTTGTACCTTTTGACCCCCTCCACCCATTCCCCCCATCCCTGACTCCCTGCATCTGGCAACCACCAGTCCGTTCTCTAGTAGCCTTGTTTGTTTGTGTTTTAGATTCCACATGTAAGTGAGATCTATGGTACTTGTCTTTCTCTGTCTGACTTATTTCACTTAGCATAATGCCCTCAAGATCCATCCATGTTGTCACAAATGGCAAGATTTCATTCTCTTTTATGGTTGAATGATATTCCATTTTATTTATATACTAGGTTTTCTTTATCCATTCATTGGTCGTTGGACACTTAGGCTCTTTCCTTGTCTTGGCTTTTGTAAACAGTGCTGCAGTGAACTTTCAAGTGCGTTTATCTTTTCAAGTTAGTGTTTTCACTTTCTTTTTTCTTTTAAAGATTGGCACCTGAGCTAACAACTGTTGCCAATCTTCTTTTTTTTTCCCCTGCTTTTTCTCCCTTAATCCCCTCAGTACATAGTTGTATATTTTTTTTAGTTGTGGGTCCTTCTAGTTGTGGCACGTGGGACGCCGCCTCAGTGTGTCCTGATGAGCAGTGCCATGTCCACACCCGGGATCCAAACTGGTGAAACCCTGGGCTGCTGAAGGTGGAGCGCATGAACCCAACCGCTCAGCCATGGGGCCGGCCCCTTCACTTTCTTGTGATAAATACCCAGAAGTGGAATTGCTAGATCATATAGTAGTTCTATTTTTAGTTTGGTTTTTTTTTGAGGAAGATTAACGCTGAGCTAATATCCACCACCAATCCTCCTCTTTTTGCTGAGGAAGATTGGCCCTGAGCTAACATCTGTGCCCATCTTCCTCTACTTTATATGTGGGACGCCTGCCACAGCATGGCTTGGTAAGTGGTGATAAGTAGGTCTGCACCCTGGATCTGAACTGGTAAACCCCAGACCGCCTAAGTGGCGTGCATGAACTTAACCACTATGCCACTGGGCCAGACCCTGTTTTTCGTTTTTTGAGGAACCTCGATACTGTTTTCCATAGTAGTTGCACCAGTTTACATTCCTGGCAGATCACATATTATATTGTATTTTTAAATCTATATATACTTTAGCTAAAATGACATGGTACTTTTTTCCTTTATTTTAATGAGAGCATTTCACCAAAGCTTCCAGTGAATTTTGCAAGAGTTCTTGAAAATTTTTTCATTTGGTGATACACAGTCATGCATCACTTAATGATAGGGGTACCTTCTGAGAAATGTGTCATCAGCGGATTTCATCATTGTGTGAAGATCATAAAGTGTACTTACACAAACTTAGATGGTATAGCCTCTACACATCTAGGCTATTTGGTACTAATCTTATGGGACCACCATCTTATATGCAGTCTGTTGTTGACCAAACTATCATTATATGGCACATGACTAGTCATTTAGCATATTGTTTTTATTCATCTTCCTGATAAATCATTGATCTTGTCCTGACCCCTTTATCCATTTCTTTAACAGATTTTGAGTTATTGCAAAAAAAAAATTGGGGTGCGGCAAATGATTGGGCAGTATTTGTTATTCTCAGTTCCTTTGGAAACTACAATTGCCCTTCTGTTTGCAAGTACTTATATTTTATGACATTGATTCTTACTTCCTATCTGACTGACTCTGATTAGTTTTCTTCTTTTGATTCTTCTTTCTTTTGTATCTATCTTCTTCCCTACCAAAACTATGAAGTGGCTGTTTTTATTGTTTATGTTTGGGCGAACTTTGTTCTTATTCACTTGTGTCAGCCAGCAACTAGCCCTGGGCTGGCACATTTATGGTGGGACATGCTTATGGAATTAATGAATATACATTCATCAAGCTGATTTACTAAGTCCTGGGTGATCAAAAACACAGTCCTTGTTTGCAAGTTGTTTATAGTCAAGGAGGGAAGATAGTACAGTAAGTAAAATCAAGTGATTGAGCCTTGAAGTATGGTTAGGAGTTACCCAGGGGGATGGGGAAAAGACTCCACAGGCAGAGAGAACAGTACGTCACAGAGTATGCTGGGGAAATGGCAAGTGGTTCAGCTTGGATGGGACCCAGAATATGAGGAGAGAATGAAGGAAGAGTCTTATGAAGGATTTTATGTTGTGCTGAGGAGCTGAGATTTTTATTTTCATTGCCAAATTTTAAGAAGCAAAGTGAGATGCCCAGTTTTTATGCATTAGAAAAACACTTAAGTAGGCTCTGTATTTGGGATAAGGTGATATATGGAAAGATTGGAGTCAGGAAAGGGGGAAATTAAAACAGAGGACTGTGTTTAAGAACTTTAATTAACAGCAGTAGGTGACCTGGCTGGGTGTGAGTGAGGAGAGAGGGAAGAGATAGGAGGCCTGTCAAGTTTCTGGGTGGATGGAGCTGCCATTCATACAAGTGGGGAAACAGGTTTGGCAAGTGAGGCAGATGAACCCGTTGTTGGTTCTGTTGAGTCTGAAGGGTCTGTGGATCAACTGGTGGGAAGCAGTTCTGAAAGCAGGTGGATATATGGATCTAGAGCTAGGTTTACTTCTTTAAATTTCTCTTTAGAAGGTACTTCCTCCCTTATCCTTAGTTCTAATAGATGTTCCTCAGGGCTCTTCCTCATACTCCACGTCTTGCTGAAATTCATTCTGAGAGTTTCAGTTACGTTCATTGTATAGATAATGTGCACCCTGCTCTGTTACTTGTATTTTTTATTTCCTTGGTCTTATTCCCAATATCATTGTCCTTCGAATATGTCAAACTAGATTATCTGTCTGAAGTTTTAACTTTATCATGACAAAACACGGCTTTTCTTTTCCTGTCTTAAAAAACCTGCTCCCTTAATAATCTTTCTAATAAAAGTGATATTTCTGTGTCAATTTCCCAAGGAAAAAATCTTGAGATTTCTTGGCCTCTGGTGTCTTTCAATTCCTGCTTCTATTTTATATCCCCTTCCTTAATTTTTCTTTCTTATTTAGTAATTTGTTTATGTTTATTTTGTTTATGCACGCTATCTGGGTTTCCCCCTATTTTTGAATTTCAAGTTAGGGTGTGTGAAAACAAACTAGCGTGCCATTTCATAGCCAAATGTCTAAGTCATTACTGTGTTGTAAGATTTCTATCCATGATTCATAACATCTCTCATGTTTGTCTTTTATTTCTGTCCCATTATCCAGATATTTTAGTTCAAGCCTCATCTTGAAATTCTTCTGTAATGGCTTTCAGTACCTCTTTTCTTCCTGCATGTTCCATATTGCTGCAGTCTTTTGTCATCTTTTGTTCATAACCAAATCACTGAAGTTATGAAAATCCTCTAAAGGTGCATAACTTGAATCAGGCAAGATTGAAGGCAAGAAGACCATTAGGAAGCCTTAAAACCAAGCATGTTATCTTCAGACTTTTGTGTTTAGTACCCCGCCTATGTTTAATCTTATTTACTTATTTAATCTTGTTACTGCTAATTAACTTTTGACTGCTAATTAATTTAATCTCCTGGTATGTCTTGTCCCATCAGGATTACTAAGCATTTTCAATTGTAAGCAGACTTTAATTAGATGCAATTAATTGTCCCAATATTTATCCTAATAAAGAGCTCAACAGAAAAACTCCAGATACTAGCTTATGGATATAAAGAAAATTTTTACCTGTAGGTGTTGTCCTTGAGATGCATCATCTTTCAGAATTTTAAATAAGGCAATGTGTGATCATTGATCATTCAATACGTATTTATTTTGCATCTACATATATATTTTGGATTAATGTAAGCCATTTTCAAGTGTTGGTTTCTAGATGTCAGAGACCACTTCTCCTAAAACATCAGGCAATATATAGAAGGATGTTCTACCAAATATTTCACAATTTTTAAGTTATAGCAGTCAAAAAAAGGGATTATCATTTTAATAATTGGGGATATATAACATTTTTTTAATAAGTATTTATTAAAAAGTATAAAATGCTTGTTTAAGAAAAAGATATTTTTAAACAATGCTGAAGTATTTAAAGTATAAAATAGAACTCCTCTTTATACCTACTCATACCCTGTTCCCCATAGGTAAACATTGTTAAATTCTACATATATGAGTAGCCTTACCTCATGTTTGTGCTTTTTAAACTCCAATAAAGTAAAACTCTTTTCTGAGAGTGCAATTGTGTGTTAGAGAGTCCTGGGCTGACTTAAATCATCTTGCACCTGCTACATACTACCAAGTTACTCAATCTTGTTATCTAGTAAAGAAAGTAGAAATAATAATGCCTAATTTGCATTGTGGTTTTGAGATAAAATATAATCATATGGGTCAGACACCTGGCGTATGGTATATACTCAATCATAATATAGTAGTGATATTGTTAATATTGTCTCCTACTCATAGTTTTCCTCTTAACTCACTCTTTTTGGAGAATCTTTTCTTAAATAGGCTCTTTTGAGGTATAATTTATATACAGAAAAATTCACCAGTTTGAACTATACGATTCCATGAGTTTTGACAGTTGATGATCAATATCACAATCATAATACAGACCATTTCATCACTCCAAGAAGTTCTCTCATGCCCTTTTGCAGTCAATTCCGTCCCTTTAACCTCTACCCCTGATAATCACTGATCTTCTTCCTATAACTTTTTCGGATTTCATGAATTTCTAGAATTTTAT